TAAAAGAAATCATGATTCATCACACCAGGCAACCTTGTTCGATTGCTCCATGGTCCAGTTCTGGCGCTCATGTCCCCATTGAAGGTGCTTTCAGTGGTGGACAGGGGTCATCGTGGGCAGGAATGAGGTCCATGCACATCCTGTGGGTAAGAGCTGCATACCTCCCAACATTGTGATTTGCCTTCTGAGTTTAGGCTTTATGTTTTGGGGTGTTCCATCCCCCCTATTTCACTATAATTTTATTAAAGGACCACTATAGGCACCCAGACCACTTCAGCTTAATGAAGTGGTCTGGGTGCCTGATCCTTCTAGGGTTAACCCTTTTTTTTTTTATAAACATAGCAGTTTCAGAGAAACTGCTATGTTTATAAATGGGTTATTCCAGCCTCTAGCATATCTGACTTCTTCCTCATTTTACGTTCTTCCTCCCGCTTTATCTCAGTTTCCCTATTCATATATACTTTATTTGCGATCTCCATTAGCTGTGATATGGACATCCCTACAAATCCCTCTAACTTTTGCAATTTTATTTTAATATCACCTTGGGCCTTGCTGACAAATGCTGAGTTAATCATTTGAGAATTCTCAGGGGCCTCTGGATTAAGAGGAGTATGCAATCTATATGACTCCAATAATCTTTCATAAAAAGCCCTAGGTGACTCATCAACCTTTTGCAACACCTCAACCGTCTTTGACATATTGATTGCCTTCTTCCCTCCTGCCTTCATGCCAGCGATAATGGCTTCCCGATAAGCCCTTAATTGGGGCATGTCAGCACCATTCACATTCCAATTTGGGTCAACATTTGGATAATGGGCTGCAGCCCATGCAGCTGGATTGGCCTGATTTTGAGTATGGGCCGTTTCCTCAAGCGCTTTAATAGCCGCTTGATTAATCCGGGTCCTTTCCTTACAATTAAATAAAGTTAATAATAATTGCTGGCAATCGGCCCAGGTGGGATTGTGAGTTTGTATAATAGAGGTAACCAAATCTGTCATGACTTGAGGTTTGTCGGTATAAGAAGAGTTATGAGTCTTCCAATTAAATAGATCAGTTGTGGTGAAGGGGACATAGACAAACACTGGATCTGCCTGTTGTATTTGGCCATTTTCATCAACGTGTGTTGGGCCCAGTGTAAGTCGGAGGGGCATTTGGTAATGTCGGGGTTGAAGGGTACCAGTCATCTGTCGGGTTAATGTAGGACTTCGGCGAGGCTGTTTTATAGTAAGTTCCGGTCTAGGGGTAGTAAGGTAAGGTTAATTTTACCGGGCGGAAGTTCAGTCAACAGGATGTTGCGGGCCGGACTGTGAAGAGCCTGACCAGGAACCAGAAGTGACGTTAATTCCGGATATATAGAACTAGTGGAGGTAGGTACCGGAAGGGGAGGACTCGGGGCAAGTGGGCTGGGCTCTAAACTAGATGAATGAGTGGGCAGGGACAATGGAAAAGGGGGAGTGGCAACACCAGCAGCACCTCCTCTAACCTTAGAGGAGGAGTAAGGGGGTGGGGAGGGAAGTTCAGACTCAGAGGGAGAGTCTAAAATGGGTGGGATTGCGGCCCTGATGGACAGGTGAGTCCTGGCCACCATGAGGCGACATTGCTCCTCGTGGCATACCTTAATCCATTTAGGCAATTCTTCTACAATCTGTTTCCAACAATCAATACACAGAAACTGATCATAGAATTCAGGCCTACTAGATACAACCGCGTGCACACGTTGCACTAGAGTTAGATCAAGACTACCGCGTGGAGGCCATGCGGTCACCAAGATAGGCCACTCTCTACTAGATAATGTAGTCAAACGCTTTGGGGATAATTTCACCCAAAAATCATAAACTTTATATCCCTTTGCAAAGTTTTTCAACATACATGACAAGGGATCAACAATCTTTGAGTCAGACGCACCCATACTGGCAACGGAGCGTCTAATACAAAGAAACACAATACCCCAAACACACTTCCAACTATCACACTTGTTTCCCTGGCAACAGCACCACATGGCACAGTTGCTGGGCCAAACACACACACACAAAAACACGCAGAGAATTTTCGTACATACAGTGATATCACAACGTCTCACTCACAAAGATTTACCAAACACTAGATACTTATCTCTATAACTATAAATCAAACCCTACAATTATCCACATTATAAATCAACTTTTAACTAACCGACTATATCACATTCTAGTAACCTCTTCTTTACAATCAGTGGGTATGGTACGGTTAGCAAGTGGTTATAATATAGTTTTAAAGTCACAGATCAGTTAGTAACAGTTATGGTGTTACACATATAACATAAGACAACAGGTTTTAGTAATTTTTATACAACGTCAGTAGTTATAGTACATGTTAATGGTTATAATACCATGCGCTATTATACAGTATACACACAATTTACACTCCCACTAGACGGCAGAGCTCAAGCTTTCTAGCAGGACATTCAATTCACCAATTCACCAACTACAGTATATTTAAGAACATTTACAATAATCCCAACTATTCTAATTGGCCAGCACCTCGAGAACTATCGAACTATTTACACCAGGATTCGGTTAGTCTACGCTGCCCAAGCACCACATATAGTAAACTAGTGGGCGGAATTTACAACAGTACCCATTTAGTCTTTCTACTCTATCAGTAGTCTAGTGGCTGAATTTACAACCGGGCACACTTAGCCAAGATAGGTTGAGAACTAGCAGACGGAATGTACACCAGAATCTGCTTAGTCTCGCCGGCCTCCCCGACCTAGCGACCGAAATTTACACCTAGACACACTAGTCAAGACAGGACACCGGTGTCCAGCATAAACTATTTACACCAAGATTTAGCCTGACCTAAACCACCTATATTAGACAGGCTGACTACAGAGCGTCTAATTTCCAGAAAAGCGGTGCGCCTTCACTTCTTCCCTCCAGAGGGAGGGGGCAATCCAATAACCGGTTCCAAATATAAAACCCCTTGTGGGCCTACCGCTCTAACGGTATCAGTCTTACCTCCTCGTTCCTGAACCTGGGCTCACACTCATCGACGGGGCACCCCGGTACTTACTACGTAAAGGACGATGATCTCCTGGGCGAAGCAGCCCAGTGGTGCCGAGATGAAGGGATGTCCACGCAGAAGTTCAGGGGTGCTGCCGTAGAGAACGTTGGTAAAACGTTTACCGTCTCAAATCTCTGCGCCAGCTTCCGTGCGATGAGGTTCCCGGACCCAATGCACCAAAGATGTAACCGAGTTAACTTGCAGAAGCCAGACACAGAAAGATGGATGCAGGTTTTCAGGAAGTAAGAGGTCTTTATTAACATACAGATCGGACCTCAGATGAACTAACGTTCCAAAACAGGTCTGAGGGCCGAACACATGGAGTGCATGCTTTTTATAGAACTATAACCCCTCCCATTAATAGCTCTACCCGCACATACCCTTAACCAATCAGTGGACAGGATTTGGATTTCTTCATATGGGCAGACCACATGGCTCATCCGAAACAAAGGAGAAAGGAGTGTGATTTCAGTTCCTGCATTCCTACAAATGCTCAGTACATTAATGACAGTATTTTAGCTACGTGTAACTAACTAACTGATACAACATACACATATGCCACATGGAAATCTCGGCCTACTAAATTTACATTTCACCGAAATTCCATCACGCTATCTAATCTGAAGGGGGAATGAAAGGAACCAGAAATATATACAAATAACAAAGCCGTTTTCCTGGCACTATAGAATCCTACAGTGTCCCCTTCCCTTGCGCCTCCTTAATCAATGCTTTCCTATGGGCACAAATCTGACGCTGGAGGTCCTTATGCAGAGCGTGAGGACTTCCAGCGTCAGGTACCAGACCAAAAGTCTGTTTCAAGCCAGGAAGCCACTGCAGGGTTAAGGGACATAGGACATTGCATCCAGTCCACTTCAATGAGCTGAAGTAGTCAGGGTGCCTACAGTGTCCCTTTAAGGATTAATAATTGTGTAGGGGTTTAGAAAAATATCCCTCTGTATCTCATTATAGATTTTGCCTGCTAGTTCAAAGAAGCAAGGTGAATTTTCATACAGTACAATTCAGACTTTAGTGAGTAAATATAATTGGCCTAAACCCTAAACAGACAAATTTGATTTACAAAAATCTGCAACTTAGAAATGTTTCCAGATCAGTTACTTTGGCCTTACATAGCATTTCTTACAACTAAATGTTTAGTGAATGACCATGATTTTCTTGAGAAAGGTTTGGACAAAGAGATATAGAAAAGAATAAGAAAGAGGTGTCTTACATTAAACAGTGAATTATGGAGAAATAATAAGTGAAATGTCCATCTTACGCCAAAATAGCTGAGCTAAAAGATCTGATTTGGAAATTCCAGTGGAACTATTTTGGTCTGTAATGTGCTCTGATTTTCTCAGTTATCTCTAATTCCAGGTTTAGTGAGATACAGGTTATCTCACACTGTGACATTCTGACATTAAAGGACCACTATAGTGCCAGGAAAACATACTCGTTTTCCTGGCACTATAGTGCCCTGACGGTGCCCCCACCCTCAGGGACCCCCTCCCGCCGGGCTCTGGGGGTAAGAAGTAGTTAAACTTACCTCCTTCTCCAGCGCCGGGCGGGGAGCTCACCTCCTCCTCTACTCCTCTTCGGCTGAATGTGCATGCGTGGCAGGAGCTGCCTGCGCATTCAGCCAGTCCATAGGAAAGTATTCTCAATGCTTTCCTATGGACGCTGGCGTCTTCTCACTGTGAAAATCAGTGAGAAGCGCAGAAGCCCTCTAGCGGATGTCAATGAGACAGCCACTAGAGGCTGGATTAACCCTATAGTAAACATAGCAGTTTCTCTGAAACTGCTATGTTTATAAAAAAAAGGGTTAATCCTAGCTGGACCTGGCACCCAGACCACTTCATTAAGCTGAAGTGGTCTGGGTGCCTATAGTGGTCCTTTAATGTTCCCAGGCAGTGAAGGTGTATTGCTCTGTAGTTCCTATGGTCAGCTATTGCCCTCCTCCCCCCTAGGTGGCGCTGCTCTGCCCCTGGCGCTCTGTATCCGGGGCTCTCTCGGTGGTTCTCGCAGTCTGTAACCGGTTCCTGACATCCAGCCGGGTCCCGGAGACACCATGGGTGAGATATCGGTAACCGGGACCCCGAGCCAGGCACGGCGGGCTCCCCGGGAGAGAACGGGGCGGGAAAGGGGGGTCAGTGCCCGGGGGAGGGGAGACAGACAGACAGACAGACAGACAGGGGAACCCGAGTTACTGGGCAGCAAAGGAGGGTGACGTGTCCTAAACTTCAACAGAGATACAGCAGCTGGCTGTGTGTGTTATATTATTATATTATAGTGTGTGTGTTATATTATTATATTATATTATATATAGTGTGTGTGTGTATTTATTATTATATAGTGTGTGTGTTATATTATTATATAGTGTGTGTGAGTATTATATTATTATATAGTGTGTGTTATATTATATAGTGTGTTATATTATATTATTATTATATAGTGTGTTATATTATTATATTATATAGTGTGTGTTATATTATTATATTATATAGTATGTGTTATATTATTATTATATAGTGTGTGTTATATTATTATATTATATTATATAGTGTGTATTATATTATTATATAGTGTGTGTTATATTATTATTATATAGTGTGTGTGTGTATTATATATATATTATATATAGTGTGTGTGTGTGTGTTATATATACATTATATCAACTCTGTATTCATATATATATACATTGTCCTATATACATTATATCAACTCTGTGTATATATATATATATATATATATATATAAATTCTCTGATTGTGTGTGTATATAGTGTCCTATATACTATATATCAATTCTTTGTTCATATATATGAATTTATTTCATTTATAATGGCAAAACCGGTGTTTTTTTTGGTGCAAAAAGATAAATATTGAGAGACATTTTGTTGGCCGCTACGGTAATTGCTCCTAAACTAGCACTTTGCTCCAAAATAGCATCTTTTTCCCTTGATAAATCTCCCCCATTTTATGTGAACATATATAGAATCACATATACATCGTACAGGCTCTATGTTTATATTTAATGTATTGTAAACATCATACCAACACTCTGTGTATAATACCAGATTACTGTCTGTGTATATAGTATCCTTTGTACATTATACCAGCCCTTTCTGTATGTGTCCATATAGTTGAAATTCTCAGGAAAACCAGTGGCAGTCCAGCAAGATGGAAATAACCCTCCCCCCCCCCCGTTTCCCGACTTTGTGAGAGTAAGGGAGGTGTTTCTGCCCCATTTATAAAAGTATCAACTACTTTTATTACTTTTACTGAAATTGGCACTTTTATAAATGGTCAAAAATATGACAGGCTCCGACACAAAACTTTTTCTGCAAGCTAAAGCAGGGCTTGATAAATTTGCTTTCAATCTGGGAGCCAGCTAGAGAAAAGTTAGGAGTCAGTTTTTTTCCTCAACGACAAAAATACAATTCTTAAAGGAACACTATAGTCACCAGAACCACCACAGCTTAATGTAATGGCTCTGTTGTATATAGCCTGTCCCTGTAGACCTTTCAATGTAAAAGCTGCCTTTTCTGAGATAAGGCAGTTTTTACATTGCTGCCCAGTAACACCTCTAATGGCTGTCACTCAGATGGCCATTAAAGTGTCTCCTATCTTAGTCCAAAATGTGCAGCACCTACATCCAGCGTCTCCATGCCCTCCTCTATGAGGTGACGCTGATTGGTAATTGCTAATTTGAGCTATGGAGGCTGGCCAGCTACAGCGAGACCGGCATGGCGCTGGGTAAAAGATAATTCCCAATGCGATCAGAGGGGGTTGGTGACCTAAACATACACATTCACTGAGAGACACCCGGACTGACACACACACAGACACACACCCGCTGAGAGAGACAGACAGACACACACACACACACACTGATAGATACACACACACACACACATTGACACAGTCAGTCACGGAAACATACAGACACAGAGACACACTGACAGACACACCCTTGCCAGAGACAGTCACACACAAAGTATTATTTATTATTGATACACTCAAATATATACATGAATATTCATACATACACACAGACAAATACTCTTACAGACATACACACATGACAGATACACAGAAAATAAAAAAGAAAAATACATATTTTTAGCCACCCTCCTACCTTTTTGGCTCAGGAGGGTGGTTCCCTGTGGTCAAGTGGGGCTGGGCAGCAACAGTTGACATCTGGTTAGTGGGGCTGACTGCGGCTAATGGGAGTAGGCAGCCGCTGTTCCAGACTCCCTCCTTCTGCCACCTCCTCTCTCTCCAGCCCCGTGCAGCTCTGTGCCTGCTGGGAAGAAGTGAAGGGAACTTCCTCTCGGCGCTGAGGTCACCCACGGTAGAGGGCGACCCGTGTGCAGCATTGGGGCGGAAGGTGGGCAGGGAGCAGGGTCGGCTCCGAGGAATGGGTCTTTACCTGGTGTCCTGCCCGTTTACCTTGCCCCATTCCCCTTGTGCTGCCTCTGCACTGGTAGGAAGTAATTACAGTTCTTCACTTCTTCCCGGCGCACAGAGAGCTGCATGGGGATTGAGAAAGGGGTAGAAGGGAATGGGTTGACCAATCCCAGGTGCTAGTTCAAAATATTTAGTCGACCTGGCGCCTGGGATTTGTCGAGCCATGAGTTAAAGTGTATTATGTGTGTGGAGTGTTGTTTTGTTTTTTTAAAGATGTTTCAGGACCTTTCTATCTGTACCAGAGGGTTTCACCATTGTTGGTTGCTGCTTGTCCTCCTGGCACATATACTGACACTCATAATTTTATGGCTGATTGCTGTGCATAGTTACATGGTTACATAGCTGAAAAGAGACTTGTGTCCATCAAAATCTGCATGGTGTTGGAAATTGTCAAAACCTGGCAAGCCCCCTTTCAACTTCAATTCTAATTTCGGGAAGTTTGACCAGGCATATATCTACTTCAGAATCTGCCTTAGCTCCCTGACAAGTTAGTAAATTAGCTGAGGTCCTTAAGAGGGAGCTGCAATATCCCTGTCCCTCTTAGTCCTACAATATAAATCATTGCAGATTTAGAGAAATTGCAATGATAACAATGCAGGACTAAGACTGCCTCTAGTGGTTGTCAATCAGACAACCACTAGAGGCACTTCCTGCTTACTAGGCGACTTTTGGACACCTGACACTGGACATCCTCACGCTCTGCATGAGGACATCCAGTGTCAGTTAAATCCCCATAGGAAAGCATTGCAGCAATGCTTTCCCATAAGAAAGGCCTAAGGCACTGTGCCGTAGCCTCATTTAATGTTTTTTTTTTTTTGTATTTTAGAAACAAAATTGTTATAACTTATGTGAAAGGCGAAATTTAGACAGGACTGGAGGTGATCGTGGCATAACATAGAGTCTCAGACCATTTTGATGGTTAAGGTATTTAGCAAGCTCCTTTAAGCATTTTACATAATAGTCTAGTCTAGAGGAGAAAGATAAATAATTATGTTTCTCCCCCTGTCTCTATAATCTCTGTTTGGCTGACAGGTGCAAAGTGCAGGGCTTATATTATTAAAGAAAAACTGTAGGCACAGTAACCGTTCCAACTGACCATTTCAATCACTTCTCAATTAATTGCTGTGGCGCACGGCGAAAGGATATAGGTCTGCCGCCGCCATTTTGTTTTTGGAGGCTGGGCTGCAGGCTCCTAGGGACTGAGCATTTCTGCTAAACAGTGAGTCAACCTTTTTGCAGTAATGCCGACCCATTGCCAGGCACCATAACCACTACGATTAGTTGAAGTGGTTATGGTGGTTACCGTGCTCCTTCAATTGACAAGGAACTAAGATAGAGGTTTTAGAAAACCCTCCTTCATTTGGTATGCCGATCCTCCCATTCCAAACAGCGATCCATTATTTTCTAATGTACAGATTTGATTTCTATATTTTATTTTTTAGACCTCACAAACATAATTGTTAAATATAGACAGTAAGTAAACATAATGAAAAAATACTGGGTAGTACATTTTTCTCCTTTAAATTGTTTCATAACTGTGGGTCAGGCTTGTTGAAAATACCCAAAAAAGCTTTGCATATTGCAAACCATGGGTGAATGGTGTTACTTTTATTCTGGCCGTTATCATGCAGGCTTGCATGGATCTCAATATTATATTACTGAATACTTGGCTGGCCCTGGAGGGGAGTTAATGAGCCAATTCCACAATTGTGTTTGTATATAGCGAGCACAAACTACCACTCTCCTGCTCTCAATATCGATGCCAGGCAGCTACAGATCTGAATTAATAGATTCTGATCTCCCATGTCCTTCCAAACATGCCACATTGTAAATAACCTGCATTGAGGACGCCACACACAATAACAACAACAGAAATTGGGTTACTGATAGGGTGAAGCACACGTACACTGCTGATATGCAGAAGGGAGTGTTAATGATTGGGCTAGTGACATGTTGACAAGAGAATGGTGCAAAACCAATTCTGCATTCACTCATGCTGACCCACTTCGCAATGCACTCATTAATCAGTGATTCTCCGTGCCCTTTACACACCTTGAATTGGAAACTAAATACCACTCATGCACATTTGAGATGCCAAGTAAGTATTTTAGCTTGGCTAATAACTTGTGACTTTAACTTTTAAGATGCCAGTGAAAATTGCCATGTAACATCTAGTAGCAAACTCCTATAAAGGTTAAATTGATGCGTATGCTGCCTCTGTTCCCTGGGTTGGTATGTAATATTATGCTGAATTGCTCCTGACTGTCCCCATTTCTCTTTCCTGCAGCTGTGAGCACTGGAATTTCTCTGGCATTGTCCTCCCTGATCTCCCTGCTGCTCTTTGCTGGGATGCAGATGTACAGCAGGCAACTTGCATCCTCAGAGTGGCTCACCATACTTGGAGGGTTGCTGGGATCAGGAGTTTTCTTCTTCTCATTAATTGTATCTTTTTTTGCTCTTGGCAGGCTGCCTCAACTGTTATTCAGCCCGTGAGCATGCGTTAGCCTGTCAAGAGGCAGGCTTAGCAAACCAGCATTTCCACATCCTTGAAATACTTACCTCGCAATGCACGTGGCTTCTTGGCTCACTGTAAAACCTCTATTTTCCCATCCATGAACTGTCAGACACTTTGCACTACCTCCCTATCCATGGACTGCATGACTCCTAGCACCACCTCCCTCTCACCATCCATGGACTGCATGACTCCTAGCACCACCTCCCTCTCACCATCCATGGACTGCATGACTCCTAGCACCACCTCCCTCTCACCATCCATGGACTGCATGACTCTTAGCACCACCTCCCTCTCACCATCCATGGACTGCATGACTCCTAGCACCACCTCCCTCTCACCATCCATGGACTGCATGACTCCTAGCACCACCTCCCTCTCACCATCCATGGACTGCATGACTCCTAGCACCACCTCCCTCTCACCATCCATGGACTGCAGGGCTCCTAGCACCACCTCCCTCTCCCTATCCATGGACTGCATGGCTCCTAGCACCCCACCTCCCTCTCCCCATCCATGGACTGCATGGCTCCTAGCACCACCTCCCTCTCACCATCCATGGACTGCATGACTCCTAGCACCACCTCCCTCTCACCATCCATGGACTGCTTGATTCCTAGCACCACCTCCCTCTCACCATCCATGGACTGCTTGATTCCTAGCACCACCTCCCTCTCACCATCCATGGACTGCATGACTCCTAGCACCACCTTCCTCTCACCATCCATGGACTGCATGACTCCTAGCACCACCTCCCTCTCACCATCCATGGACTGCATGGCTCCTAGCACCACCTCCCTCTCCCTATCCATGGACTGCATGGCTCCTAGCACCCCACCTACCTCTTCCCATTCCTAGACTGCAAGGTCCCTAGAACCCGACCTACCTCTTCCTATTCCTGGATTGCAGAGCTCCTAGAACCCCACCTACCTCTTAGCATTCCTGAACTGCACAGCTCCTAGCACCGCCTACCTTTCTCCATCTATGGACGGCAGAGCTCCTAGAACCCCACCTACCTTTTACCATTCCTGGACTGCAGGGTTCCTAGTTCCCTGCCTACCTCCCCATCCATGGACTGCAGGTCTTTTATCAGCCCATCCATGGACTGCAGGGCTCCTAACACCACCTACCTCTCCCCATTCATGGACTACAGGGGTGGGGAGTGTTAAAGGGACACTATAGTGTCAGGAAAACAAATCGGTTTTCCTGACACTACAGTACCCTGAGGGTGCCCCCACCCTCAGGTTCCCCCTCTCGTGGGGCTTCAGTAGCTCACCTAATTCCAGCGCGGGGAGGGGGCATATTGGGCAGGAACACTGTGGGGGAGGGGACATATTGGGCAGGAACACTGTGGGGGAGGGGGACTGGTAAGGAAGACTATGGGGAGGAGGGTGGAAAGGAAGACTATGCAAGGGAGGCTGGTAGAAAGGAAGACTATGTAAGGGAGGGTGGTAAGGAACACTATGGGACAGGGAAGGGGGGGGTGGTAAGGAACACTATGGACAGGGAAGGGGGTGGTAAGGAACACTATGGACAGGGAAGGGGGGGTCAAGACCATTATGGGACGGGGAAGGGGGGGATGAAGAACAATAAGGGGGAGAGAGGAACATTAAGGGAGGACACTAAGGTACAGGGGAGGGAAGGGAAAAGGAACACCGGGATGGGGGGATACTAAAAGAGAAGGGAGAGGAAAAGGGAAATGCGGGGGCACTAAGAGACAGGTAAGGGGTGGGGAGGAGGGGAGTTCCTACTGCACATATTTACAGACAAACACACTGCATCCACTACACAAACACGCACACACACTGCATTTACTAATCAAATACTCTCACTGCATCCATTACACACACACACAAATATTCTTGAAAACATAAAAAAATCTAACTGGCATGTATATTTTGTGCATTTACCACTTAATAAAAAAATAAAAAAAATCTGGTAAACGTACAGAATATCGGTAAGCTATCGGCTATCTGCCTGAAATTTCACAGATTATCGGTATCGGCTCTAAAAAAAATCAATAAACATCCATGGACTGCATGGCTCCAACCACCACCTTCCTTACCCAATCACTGGAATGCAGGGTTCTTAGCTCAACCTCCCTCTCCATGGACAGCAGGCCTTCTAGTATCACATCTTTAGGGTCATTTTCTTATAATTTTGTGTGGAGACTACAGCATTTATTGTTTCATCCCTCATTCTATTCATGGTCTACAGGGCGTGTAGTGTCATATCCCTCTCCTCATTTACCCTGCATGGTCTGCTGTCACATCTTTCTCATTCATAACCAGGACATACTTGAAAACGAGGGAAATCTCTATCTTTCCTGGTAAAATATTTTATAAATAAATTCTGTGGACTCCAAAGCCTCTGGGGTCAAGTTCCTCTCCTTATCTATGAAATGAATTGCAAAGCTCATAGTGTGACCTATCTTTCCAGTGGACTGCAGAGCTCCCAGCTTCACCACATTCTCCCCATACATAGAAGGACCTCTTTAAAATAACTTTTAAAAATAAATTTTTGTAGGAATTTATACAGAGCCAGTAAGTCTGTGATATGTGAAGAGTGTAAAGCACTTAGGTTGTATTTAATAATGCATTTATTATTGTATTAAATCTATTCCAAAGTTGGGTATAAAAGTTAGCACAAAGGGCGAAAACATTATTTACCCTAATAAATATTTTATTTTCTATTTCTTAACTTTGTTCTAAAGAACAAATAAAATTTTACACATTTAAAATGGAACAGATATTCTACAATTGTCACATTAATAATGTATTCAACCACTCCTTGGTATAGCTTCCCATTTACTGTCCATCAATCCCGCTTTACTTCCATGATGTAATATATATCCTGTTTAAGCCCAATGCCTCCTTAACTTTGAGCACAGGCATTTAGTAACCTGGAGAACGTTGTGTTTGGAAAAGGATTCCAGGCAAAGATCTTCCCAGAAGGTGCGTTTATTTTTATTTTTTTTGTTCATTTATTTGCATCCCTTTAAGCTGCTTCTCCCTCCAGCTGCCCACTTGCACTTTTTTTCTTTATTTACTTATTTTATTTAAAAATGGCAAATTGTTACGAGAAACAATCCCCCTTCTCTCCTGTCAGATATTCACTACCTTGTCCATACAGTACCCCGTCTCTGCTTACCCTCTCAGCATTTGTCTATTTTTAAACTTTTCTCTGTATTTTCTGCAGTTGTCGTTTGCCTGTTTATTGCGCTTTTTGCCTCTGGTCTGGTACACAGAGTCTGCGTGACGACCTGGTAAGTAACACAACAGAGTGTGAAATTAGAAGATAAATTGGGATTGTGCTGAGATTGGTTCTATCACTGTCTTAGTGCTGCGGACTCCTAATACAGGGAGAGAGATATGTGCCGTCCTGCTGGTCAAGATAAATTCAGTAGGTTACAGACCTGAAGGGGCTTGCTAATAGGGAGAGATGTGGTTTACTGCCACAAGACACGAGACAGATCTAATGAATGGCATGTCTTAGTTTTTCGATGTTTATAGTGTGTCGGGACCTCTGGAGAGGTGTATCATTTTCACTATCTCCAAGTTGTAATTCAGAAACTGGCACATTACATATGTCAAAGTCTGGTGATAATCAACAAAGGGCCCAGCTTTAGAGAACTATGAACATCACAAGGCTCTTACATAATGTTTCTGAATGAGACCTTTTTCTCCACCTCCCCATGGCATAAGCCGAAACTCACTGTGATATAGTGCAGGACTTCACCTACTCCGTAACTTACCTTTTTACCTTTCCCAGCTTCATTTTCTCTCTGGTGGACCTCTACTACGTCAACAAGATCTCCTCTGGACTCTACCAGACAATGGCACCGGCTGTTACACCTGGCAAGGTGATCGGAAAGAGCAAGAAAAGGAACTAATTTTGGTTTCTTCACTTGAGCCCCACTTAGCGAGAGTGGGCCCCCATGTACATTCCACCTTTATTCTGTCTGTCCCTGGGAAATAAAGTGTTCTTTCTAATTTTGGCTCGCCTCCTCAATGTCCAGACAACAGAGACCCTGCTGATTATTGGTCACATACAGTATTAGATCGGCTGTTGCTTCACGTTGGAAGGGTCCTTCGTTTATTTTTACTGCGTTCGTTTTAGTGCCTCATGATATAAATGAAGGAAAACAACCCCCATTTGAATCATGATGGGTGTTTTTCCCATTTCAATCACTTTGTTTTTTAATTAGTGACTAGAAGCAAGAGTTGGCAGACATGCAGAATTGCTGTCACATTATGATTTCCAATTTTAAAATCACTGAGTAAAACAAAGCAGAGAAGGTGTAAAGAACATATAAAACATGTTGTAACTGGTTAGATGAAACCTGTAATTTGTAGAAGGCCCCAGGTAATAAAGACGAGCAGACGATAGACAGGCAGCAGCTCTATATTCCTGGGTTAAAATAATACCACAATTCAATGGGGGGGGAGGGGTGTCCAAAGCATAAAGTGTAAGAATTTCCATTAAATATATATGCAATTTATTTACTAAACATGGAATTGTGGAGAACTGGATTTTATTTTTTAGCTCTTTGCCTATAATGTTCTACTCCTTAAATGTTTGCAAATGCATTGTTCCAGGTATATTATTACTATTCCAGATAGACCTTGACTACAGCTTTCTGTAACTTAAAAACCTTAAATGACCATTATAGGCACCCAGACCACTTCAGCTTAATGAAGGGTGCCAGGTCCAGCTAGGTTTAACCCTTTTTGCAGTAAACATAGCAGTTTCAGAGAAACTGCTATGTTTACAAATGGGTTAATCCAGCCTTTAGTGGCTGTCTCATTGACAGCCGCTAGAGGCGCTTCCTCGCTTCTCACTGTGATTTTCACAGTGAGGACGCCAGCGTCCATAGGAAAGCATTGAGAATGCTTTCCTATGAGACTGGCTGAATGCGTGCGTGGCTCTTGCCGCACATGCACATTCAGCCGATGACGGAAGAAAAGGGAGAATCAGACCTGACAGTGGGTTTAATGATGAACCTACCCCCGCCCCTCCCAGCAGCACATCATTATTTTGGTAATGAAGGATATGTTAGTGAAGATGACCCATTATATCTCATCCTTTGGGCTCTACGTTGTGAGCCAGACAGTCGAACTCTTCTACTAAATATGAGGTTGACTTTTATCTATTGTCTCAGTCAGAGGAACAGTGTTCACTTCCTGTTTCTGGGTCACCTTATTCACAGTCTGAATAGTATGAGTGTCTGCCAACTATCCACAGAAGAACAGGTACACTGAGAGGACCAGCTAGATCATGGAGTAAACACTATACTAACTAGCTTTAGTTTATCTACAACAGCCAGGTACATCAGTTCAAACATATCTTGTTTTTTTCAGACAGATTGAACAAAGCACAGAGGTAAAAGTAAAAATTTAATTTAAATAAAAATCTACAGAAGAATAGTTTAAAAAGTTGATGATGATAAAAATGCCGTCGTATACGAATGGATTACTAGAGGGACAGGAATGCACACATGTGGCCCTATTGTGTTAAAAACACAATCTTGCCTCCCTAAATATAGTAAAATCTTTATTTTATTCATGTTTGCAGCTGCTGCTCCTGATCTGCTTGCTTGGCTGACATCAAAAGCCAATCACAATGGTTTTACATAGGATTGGCTGAGACTATCAGGGGCAGAGCCAGCACAAGGCAATGCATCTCTATGAGGAAAGTTCAGTGTCAGGAAAGTTCAATGCATATTTGTCATACTCTGCAGCACTGCCCCAGGAAGCACCTCTAGCAGCCATCTGAGAAGTAGTGATGTCGCGAACCGTTTGCGAACTTGCCGTGCATGGTTCGCCACGAACCGTTCGTGGCGAACTCCGGTCAGTTGACACATCCCTGCCAATCTCCGGCAGACCCTCCCACCTCCTGGACAGCATCCATGTTGAAGGCAGCTTCAACATGGATGCTGTCCAGGAGGTGAGAGGGTCTGCCGGAGATTGGCAGGGATGTGTCAGCTGACCGGAGTTCGCCACGAACCGTTCGCGGCAAGTTCGCGACATCACTACTGAGGAGTGGCCAGTGGAGTTACCCCTAGGCTGTAATGTAAACACTGCATTATCTGGAGAAAGTGTTTACTGCAAAATACCTGAACTGAATAATTATACACCCCAGAACAAATACAATGAGCTGTAGTTGTTCTGGTGACTATAGTACGCACCTTTAAGCTCAAATGGAAAAACAAATTAAAAAATTAGCTGATTTGGAAAAAGTCTACAACTTGTCTGGTTTTGCCTCCTTAATTCATTCAGAATTTGGGAAAAAATTTGGAATTTAGTTAATAGTCATGTGAGATGAGACTGTGTAGCCAGCAGAATTGTAAAGACTCGCAACGGTGACATTGCTGCTGGGGAGCAGGCGAAGGTGAGATCTACTTACCTGAACCCGTTCCTCGCTGGCTCTGCCATCCTCTTCCAAGGGGTCATCTTTTGATTCAGGCGGTTCAGCTGCCAGGAGCCAATGTGACTGCTGTACTCTCTCGCACATGCACGAGAGTACAGCAGTGAGATCTATGGATGATCCTGCGAGAACACAGAATCCTCTATTGAAAAAATGATTTTCCCTGTAGCACCACTGGTGACTGTTGGGGAATTGACATGGTTTGACTGCACAGATCCGCCAAGTGTCTAGAAGTGTCAGGCGGAAGAAAAATACTGATACTAGTTCCTACCTTGTCTCAGTATATCTTTTGACTGGAGGCTTTCCTGCTCAATATGCTTTAAAGGGACACTATAGGCATCCAGACTACTTGAAGTAGTCTGGGTGCACTGTCCCACTTAGTCCTGTAGTGTAAAATAGTGCAGTTTTAGAGAAACAACGTTTACATTGCTGTACTAAGACTGCCTCTAGTGGCTGTCTAATAGAGGTGCTTCCTGAAGTTTAACAGTGTTTGACTTTGTGAAACAACACTGGACATCCTAACGCTTTGCATGAGGACAGTCAGCATCTGAGAAAACACTGAGGCAGTGCTTTCCATTGGGGAAGAGCGAATATGCTTGCTGCACATATGCATTTGGTCTCCCCCTTTTATGACGTCATGGATGACGCTATAGGGACATTGGTGATGGAATTGGGTAAGCGAATAAAGGGTTATTAAAGCCTTTGCAACACAGGGAGGAGGCCGTCGAGGCTGAGGAACACCTTAGTGTTCCTTTAAAGAGAACCCTGTCATGTAAAAAATGCCCTACCTGGCTTTCCGCTCCAGTACCACGATCTAATTAAAAGGTGATGGTTACACTTTTGTAGCACACACCTCCGTACTGCCTGTGTTCCTCCTTTGATCTGTGTTGATTTGGCCTGCTTGGATATATTTCTCCAACCACAACAATCCTCCGTGACGCCAACATGCTGGCTTTGTTGCCAGCGTGCCGGTATCTGAACGGAGGGACTGTTCCTATACTCTTTAGCCAACGCTAACAGTGCGTGCGAGTGGAGAGCAGAGGAACATAAGAGATTTCTTCTGTTGTCCATCAATTTTTTGGCATTCAGTGTCTGCTGAGCAAATGACAGACAGGTGGGAGTAAAACCGATTTTTAAACAGCTGTTTCTCCAAATCTATACTTTTGCAAATCTATAAGCAAAAAGAGGGATATACCTAAACCAAAAAAACACAAAGAAACAATTCATCGAATAATACTGTAAGATCTATGAAAATCCCAATTTTCAAGGTTACACTCACAGGGTTTTGAATAAATCAGGCACATCACATAGATTATATGGTTTAGGTATATCTTAGTTTTTGCTTATACTGTTTGAGGACCAGAGGAGCCTTTTGTTAACCAAAAAGAAATGCACCTTATACACACACTTATATACAAGGATACTTATCAGTGGTTAGTGAATGCAGCCTCCCTCAGGTCGCTCCCAGCTAGCAATCAACTTGAACACAAGAATATACAAAACACAACGAGGGAACCGGCTGATTGTCTAAATGAAGATAAATAAAAAGAGGTATAGTGTAATACAGTTTTAAAATATTAACACTGCGCAATATGAAATGCACTCACAGGATATTGGACAGTTCAGGCATATATGTTGCCACCCCTGATGATATGGGGGGCTAGAGAAATCCCCTGGACACTTCCACTCAAAATGCAGGACTCCAGGTGAAGATATGAAAAAAGCGGCTTTAATTGTTTAAAAATATAAAATAAATACAAATAAAGGTCCTACGCGTTTCGTCCCTTCTACAGAATATGGGACTTCCTCAGGGACCAAAATATTAAAATAATCAATGCAGTACAATCACAAAAACAGCCTAACATCCCTCCACCCTCAAGTCCTTTAAATAGGGCTACTCCCTAAATGTAATTAATCACATGTGCCTCTCTGTCCTTCCTTATTGGTCCTGTGTAGATGAGTTTCATCTGTTGAAGATCTTGTTCCCAGGTGTTCACAGTTGATCATCATCATTTTTGTAATTCTCGGGTTATTTCCGGCACTTCCGTGCGTTCCAAAAACCGGAAGTGCTATGCGTTCCAACTGTACTCGTAAACCCGGAAGTCATGTATATCCGGAAATGGCATGCGTTCCACCTTTGTTTTTCTGCGTTCCATCAGTATTCTGCAATATCTAGCCATAGAATTATATACAAATAGTCCAACAACTTAACCACAAATCTATTCATAGTAGATTTTCTCATAATATATACATATTTACTTTACACCATTTTCACAATACTTAACCAATCACAAAATTTCTTACATATTATATATACTCATAATCTAATAATGTGAAGCTTTTATCAACTAATCCATCATACCCTAATTATGTGACATATTATTTCAATAACCAGAATATTAACCTTTAACTTTTAATAAACATATTAATTTGTCATATGTGTTATCCTTCTTATAATCAATTCAATAGTGTCTTATTTGTTAATTATATTATTATTATTAATTAACCTAATTCCTCCTTTAAAATTCTGTGCTTATTTTATCATTACCTTTCTCAAAAATACCCATATATATAATGACTATTATGAATAGTGATATACATTTATAGGAAACACACTAAGTCCACATCCACATTCAGTCCACCAGGCTCCAATGTCTGTAGCCTGTGGATCCAGTATGTCTCTCTTTGTGACAACTTTTTAACCCTATCTCCCCCTCTCCAATCAGCTAATACCCTTTCAATACCAATACATTTTAAACCGGTGAAGAAAAATAGTGGACATTGATTGCAGTGTACTGGAATAGAATGAGTAGCCAAGTTCTTTTTGATATTATTTATATGTTCCAGAAATCGTACTTTCAAAAGCCTCTTTGTCCTGCCTACATATTGCTTGCCGCACGGGCACTGCAGTAAATAAACTACATGGTCCGTGCGGCAACTGATTTCAGATTTTATCTGAAATACTTCACCTGTAATAAAACAGGAAAAAGTATCTGTTTTTTCAAGATTTACAGTATGGCAAGCTTTACAAGAG